GGGATTTCTATATACGCACATATATGTATGTAGCAGTTCAAACAATGTACCCCCTCCCCTGTTTCAGTACCCCGGGTACAGTACTAGTCAATGTAAATACCCAGATATAAGAATATAAGAGTCAGCAGTTTACACATCAGACTAATTTAATAAACAAATAGATTTAATATACTCACAAGCTTAATTAATATGAACAAAATAAATATATATATATATTTTTGTCAGATTAAATTAGTACGAATGAAATTAAAGGAGCTGATATTTCTACACCCACTTTTTGAATTTCATCAGATAATTGTCGAGGTAGGTACCTTCAAAGTTGTGAAAAAATTTTGCCGCGGCTTACATTTTGATTGACCTTTAAAAAAATTTTTTTTTTGACCTTTAATCGAAGATATCTCGACAATTAACCGATGAAATTCAATGATTTTTGATTTTTTTTTTTTTTTTTTTTATAAATATGAATTCTACAGACCCTAGAATTCAAAAATAAAATCGAATTTCGTTGGATGGTAGTTAGATATCTTCGATTGAGGTTTAAAAAATGTTTATCGAAATGTAAGCTGCGGCAAAATCTTTTCATGACCTTGACTGACAATCACCTGATGAAATTCGATGAATTTTTTTTTTACATATGGGGGGAGGTCGATAGAAACAGGAAATTGTTTTTAGTAAATTTTTTTTAAACTTTAAATTAAAATATCTTAATAATTATCAAACCAAATCTAATAAATTTTTTTTATTTTGATTATATAACTATAGAATCAAAATAAAAAATTTGTTAAATTTGATTTAATAATTATTAAGATATTTAATTTAAAGTTTAAAAAAATTATACTAAAAACAATTGCCTGGTTTTCTATTGACCTTCCCCCATATTTGAATTCTGCGAATCTGTAGAATTCAAATAAAAAAAAAACCTCTTTAAGTTTCATTAGGGCTTGGGCTTGGGCTTGGAATATCTGTTCCTCTAAATAAACATATTGTTAATTCGGTATTAATAATTTTGAATAATTTATTATGTATATCAGATATCGATGTGATGTTAATTGATTAACATTAAATCTTATCGTTACGTTATCTTTATACTTACACAGTAAATTAATTTGGCAATTTGATAGTTTATTCTAAAATTAGATAATACAGAAATTCGAGATCGGTCCAGTTTTGGTCTTAATAAGATTGATCAACTGAATGATAAACTAGTAAAGCCTTCATTTGACACTCACCTTCAAATACAGAAATGGGAATTTTTTTTCTAGATTATCACCTAATTAGTATTATCGGTCTGTTTTGGTCTGTTCCTTCGATCGTGATCTTTCTTCTATGATTACTTGATTCTTGTATATTCAACAAAGATTGGAAAATTATTATACATTCTTACTTAATATTTAAGATCTTTTTTTTTTGCAATAGGAAATAATAAATATTAAAATATTACTTTACCTACTTCAATGAATTAGCATAAAATCACACAATTCCGATAGGCTAAAAGCATAATATTAAAATAGATCAAAATCTTGGTCTCACCTGCTGTAACTAATTACAAGTTTAATTAATATGAATAAATCAAATGAAAGCAGTAAACATTAATAAACCTGAACTCCCAAACATGAATTAAGAAACGACGTAAAACAATAAATGCTGCAGACAAAATGGTTCGTGAAACACTAACAGAAAAATGAAGTTGGTGAAATGGCTGATAAAACCGTATCGGAAATAAGATATGAAAAAAAAACGAACGTACCATACATACTTGAAAATACTAACACCAAAAAAGAAGCGGTGAAATGAACTCCCGCAATTAATAACAACCATTTACATTTGATTTCCTTGAAAGATTACAAAGATCGGTGGTTCTAATTAGTGAATAAATGAAGCAGTTATTTTTGAACTTAAGCATAGAGTTGATTGCCTTCTAAATATCGTATATTCGGATTTAGGATTATCCATTATGAAAATAGATTAACAGTCCTTTGTGAATTACATTCTCATACACAACATTATGTTGTTAGGCACTCATAGTAACCGTGAATATTAAGTTCGACCAGTAAAAATTGGTTTAGTGCTACATAACATTAGTGTTTTTTTTACTAATCATCAATGCTAATTATATTATACGTATATATAAAATTTATTATTAATAATAATAAAAAGGAAATTTATACATACGTAAAGTTTACCAAATTTGAACTTGATACAACATTCATACCAAAATTTTGAAGAATTATTCCTATTAAGGTATAAAAATAAATAAACTCTCAAGATTTTTTCAAAATTTTTTGTAAAAGTAGTTTGGGATAAAATAGATGTACAACAAATTTCTGTATTTTTTATGAGAAACTCGATATTTTTAATCGTTCATCTGATTAGTTCCATATTTGGGCAAAGCAATAGGAAACAAACGTTAACAAACAGATGATCTGTTCTTAATATTCTAAATATATACTGTATACATATTGTATTTTTAGGTGATCGGTTTCACATCAGGTGTGAAAAGTATCTCACGTATTGCCGAAGATAACGCCACATAACAATTAAAGTTGATAAGAAATGCACATAATGTAATATACATCAAACAAATAGAAAGTGAAGCATCAATGGCCAAACCAGTATTTGCACATGACCAGATTATAAAAGGTCATATTAATTGGTGTGGTCATATGACTTTATTAATTGAGCTTTATGACTAATTGAGTTTAGTGTGATGGCCTGTTATGACTAGTGCTGTAGTGCGAAATTCAATGTTCTTTTTTTTTTTTTTTTTTTTAATGTTAAAGGTGAAATTCAATGTTCTCTGAACACTAATTCAAAATTTTAGAATATATAATTTATTAAAAAATATTCTCTATCTGAGAACATTAAATAAAATTTTTTTGATATTATATAATTTTAATTTTTCTATGTTGAGAAGATTAAAAAATTTTTGAGAGCATTAAGGATTTGAAAAATGTACTCAGTGAGAACATAAAGTCAAAATTGAATTTTACATAGTGGTTATTATGACTTGGTCATGTGTCAGCGCGGCCAGCGACACGAAAAAATTTGAAATAAAGATTTACCCAAGTAAAATCCGAATATTTATCCATTGTACTTGGAGGTGATATGGATAAATTATGAAATTGCTTTTCACGCCAATTTTCCGAACGAATAATCCAAATAATTTTTCCATGATTACAACACACACGTGATCATAAAAATAGAATGTAATTATTTTTTTTTGTTCACGAAAAGAAGACAATTTAATGAGAATGATGTAAAGCGTAACCTTCTATTTTGTTAAAAATAAAAACAATGAAAAAAAAGTTTTTGTTTCAAATAATATTACAGTAATCAATGGAAATGCTCTTGGCGAGGTATAATCGTCTTAGATTACCTAATTAAGAGGATTTTTCGGTTATTACAACATCTATTACATAGCATAATATCAGATATATGCATTCATCTACAGTATAGAAAAGCCGGTCTGGAATAAAATTTCCGTTTATTATAATTATATAGAAATTAAGCTATGTCATATATCACATGCTGAACTATAGATCCTTTCTGCAGTACAGTTGCATGCATTTCAGTATGTACTGTACGTACGTACGTACGTATGTACTTCTTTTATCGTTAATGTTACCGTTACATTTAACATTCATTTAGCTGCGACCTCTAAAATTAGGGTGTGGCTGACAAACAATAAACCTCCCTATACATGCGTATCTATCTGATAATCTATCTATTATTGTGGCTATAGGTCATGGTAGTATAATTCCGAAACGTTTTTCTAAGAAAGAAAAATGACCATAAAAAATTCCAAATTAATTTACAAAAGAAATTTCCAAATGAATTTCACTGTTTTATTTTAGTAGTAAAGTAGAATAATTGTCCATACATATATTTTTCCAGTATATGTTGCATATTAAGATTTCTTCTGTGGGATTTGACGTCAATCAACTTGCAAGTTCCGCAATTACGCAGCAAAGAAAGACAAATCTCCGCATTATTGTCGACCAACAATGTAGATATTCTAACAAACAAAGGAATATTATGAATATGAATATCATCTAAATATCCTAAACAAGCTAAATGAAAGGTATCTTAATTGTTTTAATTGTTTTAGAGATCTTTCGTAAATATTGGTTTGAGAAAATCCTATAGAGCTTCGGCGTGAAAAAGTATTCGAACATAATACTTTCCGATTTTCATAGAATATATCCCAAACATTATCTGAGAAATTTTCCGTGGAGCATTATCTTGAAGATACTTTGAAAATACTTTGAAGTATAGTTCGCGCTATGCAGGTATTTGTGAGTAGATTTATCTCTTCATTTAGGTTCTTTTATAAACTGGGGGGTCTTTAATTGCAAATTTTAATTGGTATCGATATGAACTAATTCAATACACGACGTTTATTATTTGGTTTATGTAGAAACACGCCTTTAATAAAGTCTTTAAATTTTGTCCACTTTTCAATGCATATAATATATATAATGCGCGTTTTTTTAAATTATTAAAAAGATCATCTTACTAAGATTCCAAATAATCATTGTTTCACGATCAAGAGTAACGCGAATAAATACAGAAGCATTAAGAGAAACAAGGTTCACAAAAAGGGGTTATGACCAATAAACATTATGTAAATCATACGAATTATTTGATAATTTATACAAAATTAAAATTGTTTACAAAAAAAAAACAAATGAACTTAACGTTATTAACTTTTTATAATAAACAACATAAAAAAGAAAAACCCGAATTATATAAAAAATGTATATTATCACAAAAAAAAAAAAAAAAATTAAAAATAATAATTCTTTCGCTTATTCGACTAAACAATACATTTTTGTATGTAGATCCCGGAAAGAAACTCTCCGCTATAAAAATTTTTCTTTATATAAAGGATAAAATTCGTCTCAGTTTCTTAGCACCATCGGCTATCATCTGTCCTTAGATATTTCGATCTTCCTAATATTCTTTTTGATTTTTATTTTCTACCAAATTTTATTCATACGATGTCCGAAGTCTTACAAATAATCATGCCCACTGTTCGAGAAATAGAACAGTTTAACGTTGATGAGCTAGCAAGTAATATCTCAAAGGACAGTAGATGCTTAAATGCATTTTTTGTATATCGAAAAGAATTTACGAAACGGGCCATAGCCAACGGCATAAAAATGAAAATGACCGAAATTTCTAAGCTAGCAGCTCACGCTTGGAGGAACGAAAAGCCGAAAGTTAAAAAAGCCTACGTAGCTGTTTCAAGAAGAATTGACACTGCACTACAAAAAAGACGACAAAAAGATAGAACTTATCAAATTGTTTTTGATGTGAACATGACAAGATCCCAAATTACCATGCCAGAGGAACCAATTTCAGAACCAAACTCAGAACCGAACTCTGAACCAAATTCACCCATATTGATCCAACCTAGTGGTCCTTTGGTTTTGGATACTTCGTCCTTATTCTCTGGTTACCAGGAACCCTCGAATATGTTCGAGTCATCTTTTGGTACAAATGTGTTTGAATCTTCCTCCAATACAAATATGTTCGGGTCCTCATTTGGTACAAATATGTCATTTGAAACAAATCTGTTCAAGCCTTCATTTGATACCAATATGTTCGATTGGTCTTTAACCGTCGATCAAATCATTGATTCTTATCTAGAATATCAATGGTTTGTTCAAAATATATAAATATAAATATAAAACTTAAAAAAATAAGGAAAAAAAAATATATGATGTTTATTATTTTTGTAAGATATAACATAAGAAAACATTCATGTAAATTTCCGGAAATTTATTTATTTAATTTATAATCGTTTATCATATTTTCTTCTTCATATATATATATTTCTCACATCACAAAACTTTATTTTCAAATAATTGCAATTATTTTTTCAACCAAAAAAAAATTAATAAAATCATAAGATGCGTATGAGTCGTAGTAAAAAAAATTACATAAACAACCCGAATCTAATTTTATCGTGACTTCATTAGCACTTTTTAAAGTCTCTGAATCAATTTACTTGAAGTTTCACAATCTTTCTATTCGATCAATAAATTAGCAATAAGCTAGTATTTTTCCAAAATCCGACGCACATGTGATTTGTCTAACATCTAACAGTTTAATTCTGTTTTTAATTTTGCATATCGATATGGGACCCCCACAGCAAAAGGGGGCAGTGGGTTAAAAAATTTTTTTTTATTTTAATTGATTTCTTGAAGAATTGGATTAGTAGGAATACAATTTTTATAAAATTACAAAATCAAATTTTTGACCCGCTGCCCCCTTTTGCTGTGGGGTCCCCATATATAAAAAAAGATATTTTAATGAATTCATAAATTCAAATAAACTTACAATTAAGAAATTACCTTATATGTTTTATAAGCCTTTTTTTATTTAAATTTATATTAAACAAAAAATTAACTGTAAAGTTTATTTACCACTGTAGATTCATAAATTAACAAGAAGTATGATGGGGTAATGTGGCACATTAAAAATAATTCAAGAAAACAAGATTTTTAATTGAATTTTCGTCTATAAATTTTGGAAATAATCAACTCTCTTTAGAAAAATTTTATTACCACTCTCTAGTTGTTCTTAACTGTGCCATTATACCTTCTTGTAATACGCTACAATAACTTGTGACACTAATTTTTTTTTTTTTTTTTTTTTTTTTTTTTTTTTTTTTTTTGTTTTTTTTTTTTTTTTTTTTTTTTTTTTTTTTTTTT